CTGTATTAAACTAATATCTCATAGTATATGGCATCCTTTTCTTGAGCAGTACAAAGCATGTAAAATCCAATTCCTTCATGTACAATGATTATTCCTCTAGCCTTATGAGTTATTATACTATACATTCCTCCTTTAAGTTGTATGTTCCCTGTATTAGATGATTTTTCTTTAAAAAGCCTCCAAGGATTGTTTAATATTCATCTGCCTTTGTATCATAATAAAAAATACATATTTGGTCTTCCCTTCCCCTCCCCTTCTTGACACAGAGTTCCTAAAGCCATTGTAATTTTCTGAGTGTTAGGCGTGCTAGGTTCATCTTTTGTCCTATTATTTGGACTTTGACCCAGGTTCCTGGGACAATTTCTAATCCCTTGGAATTTCTTGGGTGATAGGAATGTCTTTTGTCCTAATGAGGCAACTCTTGGTGGGCTCTTGGATGAGGACTGGTCACCAGAAAGATTACATACCTGGCACTTTCAGCCCCACCCCCATCCTTTGGGAATGGGAAAGGGGCTGGATATTGAGTTAGTAATCAATCATACCTACCTGATGAAACCTCCATAAAAATCCTGGAACTATGGGGTTTGGCGAACTTCTGGGTTGCTAAACACATGGAGGGTGGAACACCTGGAGAAGGCACGGAAACTCTGCTCCTTCCCCCATACCTTGCTCTATGCATCTTTTCCATTTTGTTCCTTTTGTGAAGGGAGTTGTATCCTTTCGTTAAAAAACAGGTAAACATAAGTATTTTTTTCTGAGTCCTGTGAGCCATTCTAGCAAATGATCAAACCTGAGGAGGGGGTTTTGGGAACCCCCAATTTATAGCCACTTGGTCAGAAGTACCAGAGGCCTGGGCTGATGATTGGCATCTAAGTGGGGATAGTCTTGTGGAACTGAGCCCTTAGCCTGTGAGATCTGATGATAACTCCAGGTAGGTAGTGTGAGAATTGAATTATAGGACGCAGCTAGTGTTGCAGAATTGGTCAGTGTAGGAAAAACCCACACATTTTGGTGACCAGAAGTGAAGTATGGAGTCTAGCGAGAGTATAAAAGGAGCAAACAATTTTTTTTCCTATACACTGTGTTTTTCTTTGATATATGTAGTCTCTCTTTTCCCTTTATCATAAGCTTTGTGTTATTTCCTTCTTCATATTTTTCTCTTGATTGTAGTTCCATCTGTCGCCTACTCTTTGAAGTCTTTCTTGATCTCTTCACTACTCCTGAAGAATTAGACAATTTCTGTGTCTTTAATATAGCTTATTATAAATTAAAATTAT